TTTGAATCAACACAAAATTGCCCAGACTTCCGGCCGAGCAGGTTTAAGTGTGCAAGCTGCCGCATCACCAAGATAGCTTTCCACATCATCAATGTTTATATATAGTTTGAATTTTAAACAGTTCCCCATTGATATGGAATATTAGTTTTCCTTCGTTTTCCGTTCATGACTCAACACCTCCTAGGCCTACAATGTGGGACACCGTTTGGAAGCTATCTCCTTGATGGTGCGATGCGCAAGAACTAAGAACACATGCTTTGCTGATGCAATGCAGCTGTGCATTTCAGTTGTCATTAAACTAAGCCGTTCTGTTGTGGTAAGAACTGTTCATATGAGAAAACATATCATACCAGTTACCAGGACCAAACCATACTTTGATTTCCGTTGCGAACATGATTTCCGTTCATGGCTGATAGCCATGATAGAATGAAGCTGCAGGATGTCGTTTAGAAATATCCTTCATGGTGTGGTGCTCAAGGAATACCAAACTTGAATTAAAGGCGTTGCTGCTTCCATTTTTGAGCCCTTGGTATTTCTCACAACATGTTTGAATCTAAGCAAGCCCTTGGTTTTGGACAGATTCCATTACTTTCCAACTTTTTTGATTCTCAACCATTCCAATTTGATCCACCTGAGATCCAATGCCACCAAAACTACATCGGATCATGCTTTGCCCAGGACAGCTCCAGACTTTGTATGCTTGGCAGTGTGGCTCCCAGCTGTTTAGATAATTATCTTGATTTGGGTGGTTAAAAAAATCATATGGAAGATTCCCTCATTATATTGACTTGGTGGGTTAAAAAAGCATATGGAAGATTGCTCGGAATTATATATGAATTATATGAGAGCCCTGTTTGTGGAGAACACTTCTTTTTTGGTCTCTCTAGACTCTATATTATCCTGAGTATTTATAATATTTATCTTATTATGTGTTGCTCAGCTCTGTGACTTTCAGCTTGTCTTGCTTTGTCTCGCTTCTCTTTTCCCGGCGTTCCGTGTTACTCTGTTCCCGGCGTCCCGGCGTTCCGTGTTACTCTGTTCCCGGCGTCCCGGCGTTCCGTGTTACTCTGTTCCCGGCGTCCCGGCGTTCCGTGTTACTCTGTTCCCGGCGTCCCGGCGTTCCGTGTTACTCTGTTCCCGGCGTCCCGGCGTTCCGTGTTACTCTGTTCCCGGCGTCCCGGCATTCCGTGTTACTCTGTTCCCGGCGTCCCGGCGTTCCGTGTTACTTTGTTCCCGGCGTCCCGGCGTTCCGTGTTACTCTGTTCCCGGCGTCCCGGCGTTCCGTGTTACTCTGTATGCTCTGTTCCCGGCGTCCCGGTGTTCCGTCTTACCCCCGCTTGGCTCTTTTCCTGGCGTCCCGGCGTCCGTGTCACTACGTTTGACTCTGTTCCCGGCGTCCCGGCGCTCCGCGTTACCCTGCTTGACTATTTTCCCAGCGTGTTGCCCCACTTGAATGCGTTCCTAGGACTTCCGTTTGTTCTCTTTGTTGTTGGTTTTTGGTTGTTTTTGGTTTCTGGTTTGTGGCTACTAGTATTGTGCCGCCACTGGGTATGCCTAGGTTATTCTATGGATCCTCTTGTGCTCCTAGAATTGGAGGTGCGGTTCGGGATTTCTGGGAAAGCTTCTGGATGATCCTAAAACAGTTGGTCAAAATTGTGCTCACCCAGTGAGAAAGCAAAGAACTGATTTGACAAGTGCATGTCAGCAGTGAGGGTCAAGCCTTCCAAGACATGGCTTTTGTTAGTTTCAAGTATGTCCAGTTGTCCTGATCTGAAAGAGTTGCATTGACATTCGATTTAATTTAACTTTACATCTTTCTGCGGAGGTAGCAGATTAAAAAAAAAAAGTTCACAGAAACATCCGAACCTTTGCACTCACCTATGAACAATATCAAATCAAAAGGTGAGTTCACTGTGATTCATTTGCTTTGCGCTGCAATGGGTTCTTCTCGGAAAAAGAAAGAAGATGACACTCCGAAGCCCCGTGCTTGTCGTCGAAGGAAGTATCTAGATGAGCTTATACCTGATGTGGCCTCTCCCCACAAGAGAAGAGAAGCACTTCAGCGCATTTATGAAAAGCCGCGAAACTCGGAAATGCTCAGTCTACAGTTATTTTGCTTTGTGTTTGCAACTTTTGTGCTTAGCGATATGGCCTTATTTTTCAAGCAGGGGTTCAGGATTCCAAGACCCATAGCAAGGAAAGGGGCAGCGCAACAAAAAGAAAAAGGGTGCAACAAAAACACATGCTGCACAAACCATGACTTTGCAGCGTGGTGTTGGTGTTGATGTTGGGGTGCAAGCAACATCTTCTACGGATGTTGGGGTGCAAACAATGCAGACTACTTCGTTGTCCACAGTGGGGACTCAAGTTGAGCCAGCTTCTAGGGGAAAGAAGCCTGATGATGTTGAGACATGCCACTTGTGCTACAAAGTCCATGAAAAGGATTGCCATGAAAACTATGTGCTGAGTTGCTAGGTTGCACAAGGATTTCGGGTTCGTTTGCAATCCCCCAATTTTTTCATGTTCAAATTGAAATGAAAATCAACGGGAGAAAGTGACTCATTTTTTTGACCACCTCTTTTTGTTGGTGAGGCTGGAAGAACGAATCGCTCAGATACGAGTTGAAACTTAAATCGATGGAAATTGATGACCTCAAAAAAAAATTGGCAAAATTTTCCCATGGTCAAAAAACCTATGGATACTAGCACTTTTGGCAAACCTGTGGCGCGAAAAAGATTGCTGCATGCACTCGGTTGCTGGACTTATACGAGCTTTCTTCGAAAGAGACTTGTTGAAGTGTTGCTTGTTGGAGATTTGTGGGTTGTGTGCCAGGTGAGTGATGATGCTGACATAGATGCGGCTTACATGAGAAAAAAGTGTGCGCACAAGTGATGCACAAAGCTGTTATGACATCTCTTAAGAGCTTCACACCATCAAGGATCCCAACCCTTGAGATCATTCATTCTTGATAAATTCTTAATTACCCCAATTTATAAGACCCAAATCTAAATTGATAGGACCCAATTGCAGGGAAATTGACTTATATATTATTAATGGAATTGTCATTTTCAAGATCGTTCGTTTCGGAGTCCAAAGCTTCCAGCAAGACACAGCTACAGCCGCAGATTTTGTTTGTGCCTTTGCTTTCCCTGAGGCATGAAACTCCAAGATTTGCGCGTGGAGCAACTCAGCTGTTGGTGCGATCTCTGGATTGATGGTGCGGCCTTCATGTTTCACGCGCCCTTGGTCGAATCGGTACGAAAATGCAAACATCAGTGCGCGCACAAATAGATTACTGTTTTGCGAGAGGTGCAGAATTGAAGGAACATGTTTCTCATTTGGGCTCTTTTCTTGCTCAGATATGTTTCGACCACTCTATCAGCGAGCCTTCTGGAGTTTCCTTCCAACCATTTTGTTTGCTTCCAGTGTCTGGAGTCATCATGCTGCTTCTTGCCACATCGTGGTTCAAGCCTCGGAAGATTGAAATCAAGCCTCGGTCGTCATGTGCAGGTGACGAACTTGCCAGCTTGCTAGCCGCTAGCCCATTTGACAGGGACAAATTCACAGGGTTGTCAGTTTCCATGCTGGAATTGCTCAGGTCCCCTCTCATTTGGATTGGTCCATTGGTTTTGCCCATCGAACATATCGAACCTCCCGCTGCTGCATGGCTGCGCGAGTGGCTCCAACTTTTCAGGCTGGAAACGCGCTTGCCTTGGCCTACACATGCTGAAAGTCTGACAATAGTTGAACTGGGCAATGAGGTGTTTTATTGTGCCTAAAGGATCCTAAAGGTATGAATATGTCGACTGTTAGAAAACGCGGAACATGTTTTATTTGCTACCATTCTGTTTGCCATTCTGAGCAGCATTTATGACGCTGGCATTTAAAACGGTCTTGAACATCCTGACATGGGTGCCTTCTCATCTAAAAAGCAAAGAATCTGATGATTGCGTTCATTGGATTGTGCATGTTTGAAACATGTTAAACCTTCGCTCAATTCAACCACAAATCCGCGGAACGTCGTTGTGATGATGTGTTGGGTGGAGTCTTGAAGAAATTTGTAGAGCCTCATTTGGAGCCACCCAAACTCTCGCGGCCTGCAGACACTTGTCGCACACTGGCCATCGGCCTCGACTTGTTGAACCCTTCTCCAAAGTTGAGAACTTGGATATCCACAAAGAGAACTCTTGAAAGTTATCAGCGTCCCACCTCAATTTTGTTGTCTTCCCCGACCTAAATTATGCGGCCAGTGTCCACGACCTCGCATGATATGGGTAGAAAGAGATGTCTCAGAGAGGCGCCGTGTAAGCCAACGGCGGAATAGGTCAAGAGTAAAGAACATAGGCCCAACATCACACATTCTGCGCCAAACTCATATTTGGACGAGTGTTTCTGTGGGCGATCCAAACCTTGCAATTAACCACTTTAGTCCAACCATGAAATCTATTGAAATCTTATATCATGCAGCAGCCTCGTCCACACTCCCCATGTTTTCTCAGTGTATTTTCAATGAACAAATCAATTCCACACATTTCATATGAACTTCGTTGACCTTGCAAAGTTCAGTTAAATTTGAAGGGGTGCACTCTTCTGAGCTTGGTACTACAACTCCGAAACCAGAACCCATCCGCATCAACTCCAGATCGCATGGGCAGAAACATGCCAAACATATCCCAAAGTCTTCAGCAACCTGGTAGTCTCGTTGATTCGTGTTGCAGGCGTGACACTTCATGACCTCGTAAAAGAGACGACCATAAGCTGATGGCCTTGCCGGTGTCAGCCCCTTGGCAAAACTACGTTTATCGTCTCTTGACAAGTGCTGCTTGCGCACAGGAATTAGCTGGGCCCCATGCCTCCAAGTGCAAATCCTTGATCTCCAATCACACTCAAGTGTGAAGATCTCGGACAAAGTGATATCCCAAATACCAGAAGGGTGCAGTGCATATCCAGGTGTTGCTAGGTGTTTTCGGTGCGCCAGGACCCCGAAGAGCTGGTGAGTCATGCAGGCCACGGAGATGCCGATGGTTGGTGGCAGGGGCTGTTTCCGTGGAGGAGCGTCTTAGTTTTTTTTGGTTAGAATGTATGATCCTGATTGTCGACTGAAACGGACACTATTCAGAATTTTCAGACCTTAAGATGTCAAGATGTCTTGACTTTTCAGACCTTAAGAATCCTTAAGATGTCTTGATTTGTCTGCTGGAGTTCTGAAGTATCAGCTGTACCAGTAGGTTCATCAGGGTCAACGGATTGCCTAAGAAGTGGGCGCAGAATTGGAGGTGTTGGTTTCTCTTGAAAGCAAAACAAGCAGTCTATGGTGGTCTTTGACTCTTGATTTCAGGGTCTCACCTTTCAGGGTCTCGCCTTTCAGGGTCTCGCCTTTCAGGGTCCAGAGCAAATTGCAGGAATTGCACACCCAAGGAATTGCGGAGGTTTGGCTTTCGGAGCTGGGTTGTGTTGCGAGGCACCACACCTCACGACCTTAAAGGACGGCGATGACAAGAAGGTCATGGGTTTTGCGGGAGCCAGTCCCATGGCAATACAGAGTTCAATATGTCAAAATGTTCAATTATTGTTCATTATCTTTTTGCCTGTAGTGCTGACACAGGTATATTCAGGAACTGGCTGGTTGGACCTCGAGTCTTCAAGTGTAAATCCTTGTGGTCTGTCATCAAATTCTATCGGAACGCATCTAAAGTTGCTTCACATTGTGTGAGGGTTGCTCATAGAACTGACCTTCGACCGGCAGAATCTAGCTAGCTAGCAGCTAGTGCATGAACCAAGCGGCCAGGTTTTCGTGGCTCTGCTGAGCGGCAAAGACTGTGAATGTGACTCGGCCGCCCCGTGGATACACCTTCCTTTGTCCATGCAAGGTGTAAGATGGTGTAAGCTAGTGTAAGCATGTAGAATCGCTATGAATCGCTGCTGTTGACGTGCAAAGAAATGGCTACTGTCGATTTTCAAGAGTTACTGTTGCAGATTCATCAATCGATGTTATCTCCGAATCAAATGAGATGAGATGTGATGAGCCGGTTGGTGCCCTACACGGCTGCATCGGTGGATTGTGTTGATACCTCCACTCTCGTTTGCTTTTTCGGAATCTCAGGCCTGTGGTTGCAAGACCGGACTATCCGACAGCTGAAAGAAGAAGCTCAGCACCTTAGCAAGTTGGGTGTGCGGCATGTCATGTGGGGTTTAGATGGGTTTGATCCTGGCTTGTCTTTGGCGACTTTGTATTCTCTACGACACTGTCTTGGTGTTTTTTGTCTCGGTGTTCCTTCTGCTAGGCGTCTGTTACTGGTTGTGCTACATGCAGCAGTTGTCAACCTTCATGCCCAAGTACTTGCATGGCCTTCAATGCTCGGTTGTACTTCCTATTTATGGTGGTATAATTCGGTATAATGTGGTATACTTAAGTTGAGAAAACACAGGGAATCCAGCCCCTTCTCATGTATAGCTCATACGTGTCATGTTGCATTGTCTCATTTTGCTTTCGCACCTTGTATGTTTGGCTCAAGCGCTGTGAAAATAAGCTTGCGCCTTGCTGTGGTTGCATATGGGTTCTGTACCATTGAGGTTGTGTGGTACTAGAACTAACTGGTTCACAGCCTCACTCTGTAATCAAATTCCATAAACAATTCTTTTGAGTTTAGGCCGAGCCATCCTATTCTCGAAAACCCCCGCCACTTGCTAACCACCTTTGGACCATAGCTAAAATCGAGCTGCAAAGCTTAGTCCACTTGTGTTGTCAGCTAGTGTGTTCCTGCCAGAGGTGCATTGCAGCAAGCCAAAGTGTAGAAGCATCCGAGCAAAGGACAGACTTCTTCCGGGCTGGTTGTCTTGCATCCGTGCAGCTCCAGACCTAATCAAATAAATAACCTCCATACTAAGGTAGGCTTCAGGTCCCAAGTGTACTTGCCGTTGATCGTTGCCTTGAAACTTCGAAGATTTCACAAGTGAATTATATTAACTCCAATTAGATTCCAGTGCGGTATTTTGCCGAGATCCTTGTTGACTTGCAAAGCAATAGATAAGTGATCCTGGGATAACTCTAAACAGATCCATACTTCCGAAGTTCAATTTGGTCCAATGGCCCAATCGAGTTGGTGAGTGTCGTTGCTGCTTTGTGCATGCGTCGAACTCCGGCACCACCTGAGCCGCGAGAGCGCTCTCGGTCACCTTTGTCTAGGCGTCTGCAGGGTGTCTTGGAGGCTCACGAGAGGAACAGGAAGTCACATCGGGGTGGTCTTCAGGCGAAGAAGAGGACGAGGGCAATCCATCGTCATTTGCTTGAGATTCTCCTTGAGTACGTTGTTCGTCTCCTTGCACTTCTCGATCCAGGGGCAGTTGGGCGTAGACAGTTTGAGCAGAGGGAAAATCAAGTGAGGGAAAGGCTGCAGTTTCTCGAAAGAGGTTGGCCAGGGAGTAAAAGGATTGTCTTGCCTAGGCTCGAGGAATACTTCCGTGAGAATCAGGAAGAAGAAGTTTCGATTGACAGTGTATCTGAAGTTGAGACAATTGTTTTTTCGGAACCTCCGCCTGAGGGTGATCCACAGGAGGATACAGAGAATCCCTTTGGTGATCCTTTTTTGCGTCAAGTGTTTGAGAGAGCTCGAGATCGAGGTGGATTCACAATTCCTGCTCAACTGCCGATCGATCCAGACAGTTTTCTTGGCCAAAGGCTGGGAAGGGATTCGCGCTTCAGAAGGGAAGGTGATCCGATACCATCCCCTGTAGCAGTTCCGAAGGAACCGGCATATCCGCCACCTGCAGCCGCTCCCAAAGAACAAGCACATCCTTCATCTGCATCAGTTCCAAAGGAAACAGCACATCCACCACCCAAAGCTCGCCCACGTGTGCCTTCACCTGTTGAGCTTCAAAAGCCAAAGGCTTCTGCATCTTCTCTAAGGTTGACTCCAGCTGCTGCGTGTGAAGCTCCAAAGACTTTGCATATTCACGGTTGACTACATCTGTTGCATCTCAGACGCCAAAGGCTCCTGTATCTTCAAGACTGACTTCACCTGTGGAATATCAGACAGCAAAGGCTTCAGCATCATCATCATCATCATCATCATCATCATCATCATCATCCTCGAGTCGTCCTGTAATTGCAAAGGCAGTTTTGCAATTCGACCTGCAGTTGCAAAATCAAAGGCAACGGCAATTGCAATCTCGAGTGTTGGAGAGGAGGACGAACGGTGGGATCCAACGATTTTGAGGATTGGGGCAGAAATCTACGACCGACAGGGTCAGTTGATTCGGCCATTGCAGCCTCGCATTGATCAAGTCCCTTGCATCTCGATTGATTACCATCAAGTGCTAGACAGGTGCAATTTGTCGAGACGTGAAAGCTTGCGACTCACCCTCAGTGGTCACTTGCATCAGCGTGTCTTGGACGGGCTTACAACAGCAGCTTCAGGGGCTACGTTGGTTGCTCTCTCATATTGCCACGCAGAGGACACTCGACAGAACGTTCGCCGGGCACTTGTTGGATTACCACAGTTTAGGCACGTGCTCCTTTCAGACGATCGAATCAGCAACCGTGGCAAGCTGCGTGTTCTTGAACGTTTGATTAGTGAAAGGTGCTTGAGCCGGTGGAAGGGTTTATCACATCGACGACAGTTGGGAGGTACTTGAAGAGGTGAGGAACTCTCAACGTGTTGTTCCGGTTGGTATCAGAACCCACAATCGGCAGTGGAAGGTGGAAGGTGTACATTACGAGAACAACATCTTTGGGGCATTGAACCACGTCATTCGGCTTGACACAGAGGCCGTGCTACAAGGACGTGGTGCAGTTGCTGCCGCATAGATCGAGTTCAAATTTGCTGGACTGACTGGCCAAAGGGCCATCCTGTGTGGAAAATTCGAACCGACAAGGTTGTCTGCATCTTTGGTGCAACTCCTTGAATAGTCTAAGGTTGTGACATAGCACTTGCTGTTTTGTTTTCAAAGCCGTAATTGTTGCTGTTTCCAACATGCCAATGATATCCGAAATCATGGATGAATCAGGGAAAGGGTCGGAAGAAACCCCCCTTCAAGTTTCCAGTACTTCTCCTGAGGTGATTTCTGGAAGGGCCATGCACGTCCAAAAGGTGTCCAGTGGAAAGAGTTCCAACAAAACTAGTCGCTCATCCAGTTCTGGGTCATCCAAAGTTGTGCATGTAGCTCCCAAACCAAAGCCAAGGGCATTCACACCCACCGGGTCTCATAGAAACAAAGGAAGACCAGGGTTGCCAATGGAAAGACAATCATCTCAGGGTTCAAGTGAATATAGTGAATCACCGTTACCTCTTGCACAAGTTTCGCATCGGGGAATCGGGTCCATTGTTCCAGCAGATGTTGACATGGGTGCGCAACCATCAGCATCGGTCAATGTGCAAAATATCCAGCAGAATTACTATGACCAAAGGAATCTTAGTGTGACTGTTGGTGCCGATCCTCAAAGAGTGTTGGAACATGTTCAATCCGTAGAATCCCAAGCCCAGACAATTGTTCGTGAAACCCAAAGGCAAGCAGATGAGGTGATCCATCAAACCACATCCCTTGCACAGCAGTATGTCCATGAAATCCAATCGCAAGCAGCCCATGTTGTTCAGGAGACTCAGAAAGATGCCGAGATCGCCGTGCAACAGGCACAATCCCAGGCTGCATCGGTTGAGGACAGGGCAAATAAAGTAATAAGGGATATGGTAATCAACATAGGGTTGAACTCACACGAGCTCAGGACATTGCCGATCAGGCACAATTGCATGCTCAGACCCAGCTGCATGAAGCAGATATCAGAATCCAGCAATTGATGGCCTTGGTAGAATCGCAACATAGGACGTTGGAAAACCAAAAGGTTGAACATCAAGAGACGCTTGCCCAAGTTGTGCCGTTGCAGAACGAGGTGACCATGTTAAGACACTCAGTATCAACCCCAACTCCAGTGCAAGACCTCAATGGCGCGGTCAATCAAAAGGAATTGATGAGTGTGATTGAGTCACTTCGCCAAGAGATTCGACAAACCCAGGCAAAGCCATTTTAACCGCCTATGATGATTCCGATAGCCACGCCACAATATGATGCAATGTCAGCTTGTGCAGGGTTCCCCCAGGACGATCACCAAAGAAATTCCCAGAAGGTCCAAGCCCAAAGGTGGAGCCGAAACAGTCCCAAAATGGAAGCCCAAAGTGGAGCCGAAACAGTCCCAAAACGGAAGCCCAAAAGTAGATACTGCCACAGCCATTCCGCGAGGGCCATTCCGCGAGGAAGCGACAGCTCATCAAGTTCTTCGTCAGGGGGGCCACCGGGTCCACCAGGAGGAGGTCCTAATGGTAGCAGTTCGCAGGGGGGCAGCTCGCCACATGCCCAAAAGGGATGGCAAAGCATCGGGATAGGATCAGCAGATGTCATCACTGAAGAATCGGTTTATAGGCAGGTATAAAGTATAAAGCCCTCCAATCGATCAAGATTGACAGTTTGCCGCAGGATGCTGGTGCATTGAGAGGATGGAAAAATGGGATCATCACTATGCTGTGTTCGATAGATGTGACAGGAAAAGACATAATCCATGGTTGGATTCTAGAAGCATTAGACCCAACTGCTGACGTCAATGCAAGTTCGTGCATGGCTTTGCCACGACTAGAAGCTTACATTGCCGCGGTCCTTGCTGAACCGAAACATCTTAAAGGTGACTTGGGTGTTCAGTTTCAAGCATACAGTGAACAGTGCCAGCAGCATAGGGTGTCTCCCAAAGGAAGATTCATGCTTCAGATGATTGCAAAGCGGTTTCAACTGGATCTCAACCGTGGTGCCAACCTGACACAATAGTCGTTTTTGGAGCTGACGTTGGACTCATACACCCAAGAAGGCCTTTCGAAGTTCATTGAACGGATTGAGCTTGTGTTGAACTCCATACCTCCTTCACATCAGCCAAGTGAGATGACAAAATTCACATGGTTATTCAGTAGACTCAAGCCCTGCCGCAGCATGCAACGCTTCATTGACCGCATCAAAGATGCTCGTGAAGGATCTCATGTCAAGACTTGGGATTGGCTGTATGACAAACTGCAAAGGGTAGTCATTGAAATGCGTGAAGATGTAAATGAAGAATCTGTCAGACGTATGCTTTCTCCAACCAAGCCCAAGCAAGATCGACCAAAGGGAGATGGTA